CAAAGCACCCGAGCCGCAGGACTTCCCGGGGCTGCGGGCATGCGGGGGTGCCCCCCGCACAAACAGCGAACGCCGGTGCTGCCCACATTTCTATAGGCTTAATAAAGAGCCGCCGACCAGACGTTTGGGCGACAACAGCGCTGTCCTACTAACGTGGGGATGGAGCCGAAAAAAGGGTAAATACTCCTGGTTATATCGATTGGATTAATATGCCGAGAAAAATCGCTCCAAGTGGTGGCTGGGACTTTCAGAAACCGCCCTGCAGTTACTCCGCGGCCCCAGGACAGCCGCCTCACTCCTGCTTTCCCTCCTGCCCGTGCTGGAGCCCGCTTCTCAGTTGGAGGGATTTAAGGCTGTGTTAAACGCTGCCTGGGGTAACAGACCAACACGTGGCTTGAGTAGTCCTAGGAGTGAACCCCGGTCTGGAAAACTGAATTACTGAATCTGAGCCCACTTCTTCCACCTGCCCCCAAACTTTTGCACATAGGGACTGCAGAAAGACAGAATTAATATACACAGCGGGGATCTAGATCAATGTCTGAAAGCATCCCTGTTCCCCTTATTTTGCTTGCATACTTCAAAAAGTCTCTCCGTTCATTTTCTTTTTTGAAGCTTTTTGTCTCCAATCTTGTAAGCAGTTGCAGATGTGTTTATCCACGGCATTCAGTCCTGTGGAATCTATGGGAGTGTATGCTGTACGTCAAGTTAAATGCGTACATAACAATTTGGACAATGAGGGCCTTATTTTCCATCGTGAAGAATAAAGAAAAAAAAAATAAAAATCAAGTCCTACACTTCTTTCACAAGCAAAGCAAATCTGCAGAGTTTCATGATATGTGATATATTAGCCATTTTACTTCCCGAAGGAATGCCTGATCTCTGTTTTCCCTGAATCTACTACATCTTCTATGTTATCTGATTTTGCATTGCTGTTGCAGAATACGAATGATCATTTACTGACACTCAAACCAGTTCAAGTCTAAGAAATACCAGTTTAAGTATAAGGAATTTACCAGTTTCCTTATATAGTCCTTATATTTCCTTATATGTTCCTATATAAGGATTGTATGTAAACGTCTGCTCTCCCTGGAGGGAATTGAGCCTTTGTTTTTATCTTGCAGCACAGTCTAACAAAGGCTTGTCATCTTAACTGTTCTTAATTATAGGTATGGTAATACACTTGCTAATTGTGTTTGTATGTCCTAGGAGGACTAAGATTTTGCTCCATAACTAGCGTTCCCACGTATTTACTGTGGCGTTATTTGGCTGCCCACCTGTTATAACAGGCCAAAGAACAGAAACATTTTATTATCTGAAAATAGCCGTCATTATTTGTTGACCGAAGTTTGAGGCAGAAAGGTAGAAAACTATTGCTATGTGATTTGGAAAAAAAAGAAACAAACTGACACGGCAAAATAACATCCAAAGCTATAGGTTTAAAATGTCAGTTTCTGTATGTTTCATTAAACCCTTTAAAAGTGGGCACAAAAGAAGTGCCTGAGTGCTTTTAAGATTTTGTATGCAGGCTGTCAGTATCAGGCATTAGTAAAATAGGCAGTGTTTCCCTCTATCGCTTTCTGCAATGGTTTTTAAGTTATGTTTGTTCCCATCAGCAGCACGGGGAGATATTCAGGCAAAGATGTGCTTCAAGAGGAGAAGTAGCCTGGAATACGGTGAAACAGTTTGAGCGTCATTTATAAATATTTTTAATTTTTAATCACATTTTTAATTAAATACAATTGAATAGTTACAAGGTTCACAGGTTAAGGTTTTTGCAAAGCCCTCTCAGAAAAGTGGTGAGTGCCAGGCAGTTGGGCTAACCAGCTCTGCAACTTGTAAAGAGAGATGTACAGCTGCGTGTGACAGCATGGGAGCATCATTCTGGCCTTCTCGATATACAAATAACAAATACATAACTCTCCAGGCTGAGGTCTTCCAAAACCAGCTGAGGGAGTCAGTCACACAACTCAGCTTTGACAATATTAGTCTATAAATTGAAGGGCCAGTATCGGAGAGGGTATGTAAAAGATTTAAAGTGCGTGCTAGTAAGAAGCTGTGAGGCTAATTCCTTTTAAACCAAGTTGAAATAGCACAGTCAAAATACTGGAACAAGGCGTGAGTGACGGGAGTTAAGGCTGCTTATATTCACCTCCAACTTTGGTCCCATTACTCAAACAAAGCATTGAGAGGTTTGCAGCACCCCCCTGCCCCTCCCTGGGATTCTTGTCAGTCTGGAGACTTGCGATAAGAAGGTGCTGCTAGGTATGGTGTTAATTAGCTCATGTGCCTTGACTCATCTATCATTCTAAAACTGCGCATTACTAGATTAACCTCGTCTTCATATTAGTAATGATGGGTTTCTAAAATGTAGCTTGACCAGGTACAGGTCGAGGGAGGTATTAACTTATTAATTTGTTCTCAAATGCTACTCTCTGCAAGTAGTTCTGTGTACAGATTGTTATATATAGCCGTTTTGATGAGAAATTACAAAGGCATGGGGCTCCCAAGAAACAATTTGTGTACATCTGGGAAAAATGCTTGTTTTTTCATTTGTCCACAGTTATAAGCGTAGACATGGATTTCATGGGTATTGCCTCTGAAGCTTGCAACTCCTTTGGTCTTTCTGCAAAGACTGTTGGAAAATACATCAGATCATGGATCATTTTTTCAGCAAAATCCTGATAATGACTCCCAGTTGTTCAAAACTTCCCCTAGGCCATCAACATCTTGTATGCAATCACATTTTATGAGCTTATAGGATGGGGTTTCAGTTACTCATACAAAATAAAAGAGCATGTCTCACCTTAACTGAATTGCTATGGAGATGGCCCTCCCTAGACAAGTATCAGAAGAAACATGGATAAACTTCAGACAGCACAGTTTCCAATTCTATGCCAGCTTATACTGTGGCCAGCAAAGAGCTGATGAGGGACGCCCATAAAGCTGTGGTTTATGTTACGTTAAGATTGCACACAAACACCTCTCAGTATTCACACTGGTGCTTTACAGTCTTGGAAGAAAAGCTCTATAAATGAGCAACCTTATTGTATATCATGCAGCTGGGTACAGTTCATCCAAACAGGGGATCGGCACATTACAGCTTTCCAAGGCTGCCTAACTTTTTCTGCTTTTTAACCTGAGTGATCCATCCTTCAGTCATCTGGGTATATCAAGGGTTTACAGACAGACTTCATCATACTGACCCCACTCACACACACAAAAAAAACATGGTAAAGGGCTCAGAAAATGTCCTTCTATGCAAAGCCCAGAAACAACTGGAATTTATACAGGGAAGAATTATAGGGGAAAAAGACTGCATCAGCCCACATCAGTCAGTGCTCCACTGACCCTCTCAGCCTCAGTCAGGCATTTCTGTGGTCATAGTTGGATTCTCCTTGCGTACTTCAAAGTCAAGGATACCCATAGCTCTTAATCCCTTCTGTTTAAGTGGTGAAATGGACCACATTTCATAGCATGTTGGTCAAAACGCAGCAACAAGGTGACCTCTCAAAATATTATGAATTATTCACTTCCCACAGACCCAGCTTCCGCATGGCTGTTACTTACAAGACCAAGTGGTGGATGACTGGGGGATGACAGTTTCCAAGCCACAGCAGGTTACCAGAGAAGCAAAGAGGAATTTAGCAGCCTATCATCTGTTGGCTTTCAAGTTATGACTAATTCCCCAAAGAAGTGCCACTGCCTAACAGGGGATCGTTGTGTCCTCTTGAGGCTTGCAAGTGGGCCAAAGGGAGTGGATTGGGACAGTGGTCCTACCTGTAGTGGGTTTGGGGTTGGTTTTGGTTTGTTTTTTGTTTTTTTTTCCTAGAAGACATTTTCAGTAACATGTCAGGTTTAACATATGGCACTGGGGAATACACCTTCTGTTTAGTTTAAAAATTGCTGCTAAGAAAAATGCTAAGGGAAAGACTTTCTAATTAAAAGCCGAAACAGCCAAAACACTGGATTGTAAAACAAGCTGACACACGGTGATTTGTGCTGGCTTAAACAGACCAAGAGAAGGAATTTTCCTTCCATCGTTCTCCTCTGCTCCTTCATCCTCATGTCACCTGTATAAATGACCTTCTTTCTTATTTGAGTCCAGTGGCATTAAACACTATTTATGTTTAATTTTTACTTAGAGATGGTCAGATGACTAGATACAGCTTCATCTTGGACAAGTTTTATTTTTCCTTTTATAACAGAACAGACATAAGAAGAAGGGACATGGTGCTGGACTGTGCTGTGGGTGAAGTCCTATCTAATGAGAAGCTGGAAGTTTACCACAGGACAAACAGGCTCCCTCGTAATCTGGATCCTCTTCTCCTCCTCCCTCCTTTCTCTCTCATCATCACCTCTTTTCAGTCGCCTCTCGAGCTGGAAGGAACATCTGAGGAGGCATCAATGGAGTGTTGCCTACGTACCACCAGGCCCAGTGACCACCCACTGCTTCCCGTTCACCCTGTGCTTTGAAATCGTACCATCGCCATCGTTTGCTGTGGAATTTTATTCCTTTTTATTTCAATCCTGTTAAAACTATTCAGTACTACCCTACTAAATCATAACACGTTTTTTACTCAAAAGCCAACATTTTCTATCTCAAGTTTTCAGATAAAAATAGCTACTTTCATATGACAATTAAATATTTTAAATTTCCAAATTAGGTGGCTGAGATGCATTATTTTCCCCAGATGTTCTGTTTTCATATTTATCCACGTCTATTCAGCAACTGAGTTCTCTTTTTCTTCCATTCATTTCTTTTTCCTCATTTCAGCAGCAATTTAGAGGAAAACAAGTGTCCTCATTCTCCACTAGCAAGTTTTAGTTAAAGTATATTTCAATTTCTTTACAAAGGTTTTTTTTCTCGGTGTTTTTAAACACAGCTTCTTGAAGGTGGTTTTTTTCCAAGCATGAGCCATTTCAATTCCACAAGTTCAATAATGCCATGTTGTTAGGAGTGGGGTGCAGAGCATAGATATAATGCTGTTTGTTTCTTTCACTGAATAATTACACTTAAAACTGGCTAATTGGAATCAATTAGTGGTAAGAAGTTAGTCTCAGGGGGAGAACAAGAATTTGTGGAAGCTCCAGATTGTGTTAGGAACCAACATTTCCACACCTAGATCATGTCTTATCTGCTAGTTCAGCACCTTTTCACGGAAAAATACAAGGAGCATGTAGTGGGCAAGGCAAGGGTTTATTTCCATTAAAATTTATTTTAAAACACATTTTTTTAAAAAAATCTGTGGATAATCTCCTTGTCCATTTAACTCTACAATACATGTTCAGACTTCTGGTACTGGATGTCAATGCAAACAGAGTTCAGTGTGTTTTGTAAGGCATTATAAACATCCCACGCTCTTTTGTTTCTTCAATAACCCATTTCCTATTTTACAAGGAAAGAATACGGATGTTCCTTTGTGGGTCTCCTTATTTAGCTAAGCTAGACAGTCCCTCCTTATGCAAGAGCACTTGTGCTTTACCATCACCTGCCTCAGGCCCATTTTTCTGTCCAGTAGACACTGAGTATGTGAATGTATTTAGTCAGCTCCATCATAACCAGTCGTACACTCCTATGGACTCCCTGAGTTATTGTAAGGACATACGCACTGATCTTCACCTTCCCAGTCAAAATACCTTAGGGATCTGTGACTTGCCAAATGTCCTGGATAAGTACAAAATAGACAATTTTTGAAGAAGCGTGGCCAAAATTTAATAGCTGAGGGAAATACAACCTGCAACAGTCCTTCAAGAAGAATGATCTGTAAAAACAATAACATCTATAAACATAATCACTGTGAAATTCCTCAGTCCAAATTCTAATTGATCCCAAACTTTCTCTGAATAAGGACTGCAAGGAAGAAGGTCAGCGTGTGTTTATGGTTGCCGTGTTTTTATAATTGATTCCAGCAAAGCACTTGTGTACATGCTGAAAACATGGCTTTCTTTGGGCTAGCCTTTAAAATGGAGCAAGTGCTGAAGGGGAGTCCTAAACAGGGGGGGATAAACTACAAAAGGGTAGAGGAGGTCAGCTGAATGGGCAGGAGCACTTACCTCAGTGCTCATCTTGGCCAAAATTTGCCTGGGTTTGCTTTTACTGGGATCCTGAGGAATAGATGCTTTTATTTCCTCATGCAATGAATAATGTGAACCAATCAAATAAGGTCTTTGAATGTAGAATACCAGTTATTGATTTTTTTTTTTTTTAAATAGTAACTGTTTGCAGTGGTAAAACTATTCTGAATGCATCAGCAGCACTGAAACTTTAACCAATGTTTAAAATACATGAAAACATCGTCCCTAGTCATTCTAGATTCCAGTCTTTCAAGCTACACGTGGGTCACTTTTGATTTCCAGGGTGGTTGCAAAGTTGCAATTTCATTAAGCATCAAAATACATTACCAATACATCTGATCATTTGATGGGTCCCTGAGCACACTACCAGGTATTCTGTAATACTGCTCACCTCACAGAAAAATACTTTAGAATCGCTTAAGCTTTTTTTTTTTTCTTAATGCTTTCGTACTTTCAAGTTTGTCTCTGCAAGTAAACTCCTGCCCCCTATCGCTCTTAATAGTACTGATCCCATAGGCACACATTTTGGAGGAAATAAATTATAGCTAGTCTGGTTATAAAGATCTAGAAATTACTCTGAAACAATTTATTTCATTATGTTGTAAGCTTCAGGTCAGCAGTCTACAGAACAGTCATGGCTGCTACTTTCTTGTTAGAAAAGTGTTAATCTGACCACTCACCTGTAACTTGGATCTCAAAAGGAGTTTCATGATTACGAGGTTTTTGGTGAAACTTCATACTCGTTACCAAAGTGGCAAGATTTAACCCCCGTTGGTATAAATTCTTGATCACAGAACCATATTATTTCAAATAATTTGTTTATGAAATAAGACCAGAGCACTCAACAGCAAAGGCGTAAAAATTAAGCAATCAAAACATTCCAGTAGAAAGCTCATCGCAGACGATAAATAATTCCTTGTGTCATATCTCTTACCAACATGACTAATAACTGAAAGGAAGATTTCAGCTTTTAGTCCATTTGAATTCCTTTATTCCTTAGAGAAGAAAATTAATTAACTACATTTTGATCACAATTATCCTCCTTGAGATTCTGGAACTGTGATAAGTAGACAACCTATGTCTCGTTCATTCTCTTTAAAACTTAACTTTTGATGTGGGATGGGGGCAGTGAACCATCTTTGCTGCTATATAGCTTTAAGGCTTTTCACAAAATAAAATTTAACTGACAATAAAGGAAGCGTGCTCCTAATTAAAATAATATTGATTCGGCATATGGTATTTTTGCCTTTGGTTTTCACTTTTTATTAGCCAAGTTGTCACTTTTCTCTTTAGTGCCACCTTGTGGGTCAGCCAGTTATAAAAGCACGCCCATCTCTCCTGCTGCACTAAAAATAGTCAGGATCTGGCATTCGGAGCACCATGGGCAAGGGGGCAGGTTGTGTTTTTTGAGGTTTAGGGCGTCTTTTTTTAAGAAAAAAGCAGTAATGTACGGAGAAAATGTTTGTTATACATTTATAATAGGTATGCAAGAAGACAGAACAATCTCTCTGGGATAGAAAGTAATAGGATCTACAGGAAAAAAAAATCAATGCTCATTTACAGGATAATCATCAAACTTATCTTGGAAAATGTAAGTGGCAAGCTCTGACTTGTGTGATTTTTGCCACAAGAAAAATGCTTCTGTATCTTAGTGCCATTAGTTTTGCAAGAGCTTTCCATGAAAAGTAAAGCTAGATAATTGTAAACTCCCATTAATGCCACTTTCAGAAAAGACGAATGATCAGATGGAACAGCACAGCATACTTGCTTGTGAAATTCAGGGTGGATTTGCACGCAGCAGCTTCAGACTCTGCTGATGATAAAGCACAGACATTCAAAAATGTATATAAAAAAATTAAAATTGTCAGGGAACATATGTACTGCAAAGGACGTTCAGATGGAGACTTGGCTGGAGTATGGTAACAATACGTGTTCCCTAATACAGCCCTAACAACTCAGCTGTCCCCTAACCTTACAGAACTGAACAAACGCGTCCTCATACGTTACCGGGAGAAACTGTGGACAGTGGAATTATGTTCAGTTT